CATGTTCACCACACGTCACGACATATCCCCCACACGTCTCCACACGTCTCCACATGTCTAAACATGTCTCCACACGTCTCCACATTTTTAAACATGTCTCCATATGTCTCCACACGTGTCCACATGTCTCCACACGTCTCGACATCTCCACAACACGTCTCCACACGTCTCCACATGTTTAAACATGTCTCCATATGTCTCCACACGTCTCCACATGTCCTCCACACGTCTCCACATGTCCTCCACATGTCCTCCGCATGTCCTCCACACGTCTTCACACGTCTCCGCGTGTCAAAACATGTCTCCATATGTTACCACATGTCTCCACACGTCTCCACATGTTACCAAACATCTTCACACCTCATCACATGTCTCCACATGTCTCCACATGTCATCCACATGTCTCCACATGTTCACCACACGTCTCCACATATCCCACACACGCCTCCACACGTCTCCACATGTCTAAACGTGTCTCCATATGTCCTCCATATGTCTCCACACGTGTCCACATGTCTCCACACGTCACAACATGTCTCCACGTGCCCTCAACGTGCCCTCAACATGTCTCCACATGTTCACCACACGTCTCGACATATCCCCCACACGTCTCCACATGTCTAAACATGTGTCCATATGTCCTCCATATGTCTCCACACGTCTCCACATGTTACCACACGTTTCCATATGTTTCCACAGGTCCTCCACAGGTCTCAGCATGTCTCTACGTGTCCTCCACATGTCTCTACGCATCTCCACATTTCTCAACGCGTCTCCATATGTCCTCCATATGTCTTCCATATTTCCTCCTCACGTCTCCACATGTCCTCCCCATGTCTCCACACGTGTCTGCATGTCTCCACGCGTCTCCACATGTCCTCCACACGACTCAGCATGTCTCCATGTGTCCTCCACATGTCCTTCACATGTCCCAACGCGTCCCCACATTTCTCAAAGCGTCACCATATGTCTTCATAATGTCTCCATATGTCTTCCAACACGTCTTCACATGTCCACCACATGTCCTCCACACGTCTTCACACGTATCCACACGTCTACACATGTCCTCCACACGTCTTCACACGTCTCCACATGTCTAAACATGTCTCCATATGTCTCCTCGCGTCTCCACATGTCCTCCACATGTCTTCACACGTCTCCACATGTCTAAACATGTCTCCATATGTCTCCACATAACTCCACATGTCCTCCACATGTTGGGACGCGTCTCCACAAGTCCTCCACCAACGCGTCTCCACATGTCCTCCACTCGTCTCCACACGTCCTCCACATGTCATCCACACGTCTCCACGCGTCTCCATATGTCCTCAAAATGTCTCAACACATCTCCATATGTCTCCATAAGTCTCCGAATGTCCTCCACACCTCTCCACATGCTCTCAACCTGTCTCCACGTGTCCTTCACACGTCTCCACATGTCCTCCAGACGTCTCCACGTGTCCTCCACACGGCTTCACGTGTCCCCCACATGTCTCCGAAGGTCTCCAAATTGTTCTCCATACGTCTCGACATGTCCTCCACGCCTCTCCACATGTTCTCAACACGTCTCCACATGCCCCCCGCACGTCTCCACATGTCCTCCACATGTCCTCCTCATGTCCTCCAAAAGTCCTCCACATGTCTCCACACGTCTCCACATGTCATCCACGCCTCTCCACATGTTCTCAACACGTCTCCATATGTCATGCACGCGTCTCTCTATGTCTCTCTATGTCTCACGTCTCCACAAGTCTCGACATGTCGACATATGTCCTCCATATGTCTCCACATGTCATCCACACCTCTCCACATGTTCTCAACCTGTCTCCACATGTCCTTCACACGTCTCCACATGTCCTCCAGACGTCTCCACGTGCCCTCCACATGTCTCCGAAGGTCTCCACACGTCTCCACATGTCCTCAACACGTCTCCACGTGTCCTCCACACGGCTTCACGTGTCCCCCACATGTCTCCGAAGGTCTCCAAATTGTTCTCCATACGTCTCGACATGTCCCCCACGCCTTTCCACATGTTCTCAATACGTCTCCACATGTCCCCCGCACGTCTCTACATGTCCTCCACATGTCTCAATATGTCTCCACGCGTCTCCACAAATCTCTAAATGTCCTCCACACGTCTCCACACGTCTCAACATGTCCTCAACATGTCCTCCTCATGTCTTCCAAAAGTCCCCCACATGTCTCCACACGTCTCCACATGTCCTCCACGCCTCTCCACATGTTCTCAACACGTCTCCACATGTCTCCACGTGTCACTACATGTCTCAACGCGTCTCCATATGTCCTACATATGTCTCAGTACGTCTCCACAAATCTCCACATGTCCTCCACACGTCTCCGTATGTCCTCCACACATCTCCATATGTACTACACATTTCCTCCGCATGTCTCTAATGCGTCTCCACATTTCTCAACACGTCTCCACAAGTCTCGACATGTCGACATATGTCCTCCATATGTCTCCATATGTCCTCCACACCTCTCCACATGACCTCCACACGTCTCCATATGTCCTCCACACGTCTCAACATGTCCTCCTCACGTCTCCACATGTTCTCCACGCGCCTCGACATGTCTCCACGTGGCCTCCACATTTCTCCACAGGTCTCCATAAGTCTCAACATGTCTCCACACGTCTCCACATGCCCTCAACACGTCTCCACATGTCCCCCACACGTCTCCACATGTCCTCCAGAGGTCTCCACACGTCTCCACTTGTCTAAACATGCCTCCATATGTCTCCACACGTCTCCACATGTCTCCACAAATCTCTACATGTCCTGCACACGTTTCCACGCGTCTCCATATGAACTACACATGGCCTCCGCATGTCTCTAATCATGCGTTTCCACATTTCTCAACACGTATCCATATGTCCTCCATATGTCTCAACACGTTTCCACAAGCCTCAACATGTCGACATATGCCCTCCACATGTCCTCCACACCTCTCCACATGTTCTTCTCACCTCTCCACATGTTCTTCACACGTCTCCACATGTCCTCCAGACGTCTCCAGGTGTCCTCCACATGTCTCCGAAGGTCTCCACACGTCTCCACATGTCATCAACACGTCTCCACATGTCCTCCTCACGTCTCCACGTGTCCCCCACATGTCAACGAATGTCTCCAAATTGTTCTCAACACTTCTCGACTTGTCTCGAAGTGTCTTCCAAAAGTCCTCCACACGTCTTCACACGTCTTCACATGTCTAAACATGTCGACATATGTCCTTCACACTTCTCCACGTGTCCTCGAAACGTCCCCACGTGTCCTCCATATTTCTCCGAAGGTCTTCACATGTCCTCAACAGGTCTCCACATGTCCTCCAAACGTCCCCACGTGTCCTCCACATTTCTCCGAAGGTCTTCACATGTCCTCAACAGGTCTCCACATGTCCTCCACATGTCTCCACATGTCCTTCACACTTCCCACATATCCCCCACACGTCTCCACGTGTCCTCCACATGTCTCCACATGTCCTTCACACTTCTCCACATGTCCTCCACACGTCTCCACTTGCCTCCACATGTCTCCGAAGGTCTCCACACGTCTTCACATGTCCTCAACAGGTCTCAACATGTCCTCCTTACGTCTCCACGTGTCCTCCACATGTCTCCGAAGGTCTCCACATGTTCTCCACACGTCTCGACATGTCTCCACGTGTCCTCCACATTTCTCCACAGGTCTCCATCAGTCTCCACACGTCTCCACATGTCTTCCACGCATCTCCACATGTTCTCAACACGTCTCCACATGTCCCACACACGTCTCCACATGTCCTCCACATGTCTTCTTCTTGTCTCCACACGTCTACACATGTCCACCACACGACTTCACACGTCTCCACATGTCCCCCACAAGTCTCCACATGTCCTCCACATGTCTCCACATATCCTTCACACTTCTCCACGTGTCCTCCACACGCCCCCACGTGTCCTCCACATTTCTCCAAAGGTCTTCACATGTCCTCAACAGGTCTCCACATGTCCACCACATGTCTCCACATGTCCTTCACATTTCTCCACATGTCCTCCACACGTCTCCACGTGTCCTCCACATGTCTCCGAAGGTCTCCACATGTCCTCAACAGGTCTCCACTTGTCTCCACATGTCCTTCACACTTCTCCACGTGTCCTCGAAACGTCCCCACGTGTCCTTCATATTTCTCCGAAGGTCTTCACATGTCCTCAACAGGTCTCCACATGTCCTCCACTTGTCTCCACATGTCCTTCACACTTCTCCACATATCCCCCACACGTCTCCACGTGTCCTCCACATGTCTCCACATGTCCTTCACACTTCTCCACATGTCCTCCACACGTCTCCACTTGCCTCCACATGTCTCCGAAGGTCTCCACACGTCTTCACATGTCCTCAACAGGTTTCTACATGTCCTCCTTACGTCTCCACGTGTCCTCCACATGTCTCCGAAGGTCTCCACATGTTCTCCACACGTCTCGACATGTCTCCACGTCTCCTCCACATTTCTCCACACGTCCTCCACGCCTCTCCACATGTTCTCAACACGTTTCCACGTGTCCTCCATACGTCTGCTCATGTCATCCACATGTCCCCCACACGTTTCCACACGTCTCCGCATGTCATGTCTCCCCCCCCCCCATCCCCCCCCCCTCCCCCCCCCCCCCCCCCCCCCCCCCCCCGCCACACATGTCCCCCACACGCCCCCACACGTTTCCACATGTCATCCACATGTCTCCACGCGTGGACACTGTCTGAGTAAAGATACGCACGTATAATGTTATATAAGTGGATGAAAGTATCTTCTACGAAGATGTGAGTATCATCTATTTTTGTTTAGAATTTGGCACTAATACGCTTACATAGAAAACATGTACTCAATTAAGCTTTAACACTAGGATATTCGTATGTGTCCGGGATAAGCCGTGCAACGCATCCGACTGACGGCAAGATTGATTACCATTTGAGGTGTCCCTTTGTATTATGTGTGAATTAATGCAGATGAAAACTGACAGCTTGAGGTATGATGTGTGTGTTACAGTTTTGACTGTAAGGGGAGAGCACAAGATGTGACCTGTGTCAGTAACAGCTTTCAACATCCCGTGGTTATTTCTTTGGCGTGGCAGTATTAAAGAACTGCACTGGATCAGTTACATTATTCCTAACTTCATCGTTGGATAGCAGTAACGTAAGTACAGCGAACGAGTGAGTATATCAGTTATATGTATATCTGGGCTTGTCAGTACTTATTTTGATGTGGAAAGCAGGTCTCAGGCATTTATCATTTTGGTGAAACCCACGAGCATGCGTATGGAGCTCTAAAGCCTCGAAACATTATCACAGCGATCGTATGTCTCTGGCACTCCTAACGGATGCAACTTTGCACATGCGACTAGGCCACCAATACCCAACGTTAGCAGATGTACATGCGAAAACACAGTCATTGTCGCTACTCATTGTTGGAAGTCAATTGGACAGGAGTAAAATTCGCAGGAAGGCGACTGCCACCAGCATACCATGTTGTTACACCCGTAAAAAGCAATCAAGCGGGTTCATTCGCGCGGCAAGTTCGTCTCATTTGTGGGTTCACCTGGTCTCATCACTATTTCATAGTGATTCATAAACACATACTCATGATATAGCTATTGTCGGAATCGCACAATCGTCTCTGGCAGATATTCCTTATGAATATGGAAAGGGTTTTGTTATTATTACTGTGATATTTATGTGAGATGCTATTGATATAAGTAATGTTTCTTCTTCTTCGCTTTAGGTCACCTTCTGCCTTAGCAATTTCGGGTGACCTACCCCTCTATGGTACTCGTGTGTGAGTAGAGTATGTAATCTTTTGGGATTTTGGGTATTGACATGATTTTTGGTTGGTACTGACAGGACTAAATTTGGATTTGGATTTTTAGAAATTGATAAAATTTCTTTGGCTGCTCTTGTTTAGATGCGTTCGAGCAGCTGACCATCTTTCAGAAATAGAGTTAGTTTGGTCTTTCCTATTGCTTCTTTAGGAGATCTGCGACAGCAATTCTCAGATAGCAGATCTGACTGCAATACTTGTTTTAACTGAGTCTGGGCTTGATCATGACCTTGATATTCTAGTAACAAGTGAGAGATGGATTCTGGCTGCTTGCAAAACGACCATACCTTATCAAAGTGCTTTTTATAACCGAGTCTGCGACCTGAGAATTGTTTGTTTTAAGCTACAGTCACACAGACAATGCGACTGCGATGCAACCTCTTGGTGACTGCTTTCCTTTGCGACCGACTGGCGATCGCTGAGACCGGTGCAACTATTTTAGGGTATGATCGCCGATCAATCAGCGATAGGTTTTGCAACTTTTGATGATTGATTACCCTCACAGCAAGTAGCATATTATTGCTGTTCTCAGGAATTTGCTTCCATCTGTTCCGAGAGCTTGCAGGGTCTTCTGCTTGGGATAGCATTTGTATTCTGTTAGTGCTGCGCACATTTCCTCAGAGACAGGGTTAAGCTAGCATGAGTTGACTTTGGGCCAATCATGAGTTTTCCCCTGCTTTTTCCCAAAGGCTGAGAATGAAGCGCCATGGATAATGTCTGTCAGATGTCCCCATCTGTGCTTGGCATCTCCCTGTGGAGGTTCTGCGGGTGTGAGATGTTGTTGACACTGATATGCGTCGTTCCCTCCAGCTTGGTGTGGTGCATCCTCTTTGGCTGAAATCTGATCGTGCAGCGGACCAAGGAATGGCCCGTGTCGCCGTCGGCATTGAGGTACAAAGATAAACCGACAAAACCTTTCCCTATTCATAAGAATTATCGGCCAAAAGCAGAGTCGATTGTACGATTCCGACTATATCATGAGCATGTATTTATGAATCACTAAGCTGGCGCCGTGCTTTCTTTCTTAACTTTCTTTTTTTCATTTGTTGTTGTCCTGTCTGGCGCAACTTTGCACAGCTAAATGCGGTTTTCTGAAGGGAATAGGCTGTATCTCCGTTTTGTCTGGAGTGTGATTCGCTAGTGTTTCTGCTTTTTTTTCATTTCTATGAATATCTATATCTATGTGAGACGGGATCCAACATAACTCCACTGGTGTGCCCTGATCAGATAGTTTTGTATAATTTCGTATAGAATATTATTGACTGTATAAGGTTTAGAATTTGATGGGTTGTAGTGTACTTAGTGAGTCTGATAGGTTGATAGTCGTTGCTTTCGGTAGTGCCGTAATGAGTGTCAGATGAATTGCCTCTGTGTTCAGCAGTAAATACTGATTGACCGTCAGGCATACTCGTCTAAGGCGCCGCGATTTGCTGTGTAGAGTTGTGTCCCTTGGGCACGCCAGAAACGTATGATTTTGGGTTCGAATACCCTGATTATGTTTCTAGATTTGTCAGCACCGCACCCGTGCTCGTTGGTTTCACCGAAGTGGTAAACGTCTGAGACCTGCATCACTTCGGGCTTTCCTCCCACATTAAGCTGACACGCCGTGATATAACTGGAATACTGTTTAAAGCAGCGTTAAACCCAACTCACTCACTCACTCACTGATATCGTTATACATTGCATTACTATGTGGGCGTTGGTTTTATATTCCTTTTTATACTCCGTATAATGCAAGAAAGTAAATCTGTACATTTGTCCGTCCTTTCACACATCTTGTCATGACACTATGTTACTAAAACCTGTTTCTTGAGAACAATAGTCCTTTAAAAGGATTGAAGCTCATATATAAGTGCATGTGATGGTATTTATGTTCACTGATTACATTATTCATTTGTCTGGAGTGTGATTCGCTAGTGTTTCTGCTTTTTCCTTTCCATGAATATCTATATCTATGTGAGACGGGATCCAACATAGCTCCAACGGTGTGCCCTTGGGCACGCCAGAAACCTATGATTGTGGGTTCGAATACCGGTTCGCCCCGATTATGTTTCTAGGTTTGTCAACACCATACCCGTGATCGTGGGTTTAACTGAAGTGGTAAATGTCTGAGACCTGCATCACTTCGGACTATCCTCCCACATTAAGCTGACACGCCGTGATATAACTGGAATACTGTTAAAAACAGCGTTAAACCCAACTCACTCACTCACTGATATCGTTATACATTGCATTACGATGTGGGTGTTGTTTTTATATTCCTTTTTATACTCCGTATAATGCAAGGAAGTAAATCTGTATATTTGTCCGTCCTTTCACACATCTTGTCATGACACTATGTTACTAAAACCTGTTTCTTGAGAACAATAGTCCTTTAAAAGGATTGAAGCTCATATATAAGTGCATGTGATGGTATTTATGTTCACTGATTACATTATTCAAATGTGTTAGGGACCCAACTCTCTTTGCTCAAAATGATTGTTTCTTAGACCATAAGATCATTTTGACAATGCTGTATAACATTTGTAATGGATGTGTACAGTGAAAAATCAATTACACTAAATACCTGATATCATAATACGACCCTCCAATGGCATGGATCATTGGTCGTAATATCAATCAATGGATTTGGTTTGGTCAAATCATAGTAATTTTACAGACCACAATGAATCACATTGCTGGGATATTGCAACAGCGAAAGAGCACAACAGAAGCAAGATCAGTTCGTTGTACGGGTAGATTCGCTCAGATATCTGTAGATATGACAATTAATAGATGTGTGTGCATGATATTAGGATATGACTTGTTGAAGTTTAATATGTAGAAAATAGGAAAATTATCAGATTTAACATATTTACATCTTATTCCACAGGCAATCTGCTTGTCCAGTTGAAGAAGTTTCAGCATTAGTGTCCAATTATGTTTCGCAAATACGTTCTTCCCCATATCTTCCCTACCCTGAGTGCCCTTTGTGCTGTACTGATACTGTGCTGCCCATGCTCAGATGCCCATGGTCGAAACAGGCCGTCCAGGAACCCTTGTCCCGCCACACCTAGCTGCCAACAGAATGGTGTAGTTACTTGTCAAGGATGTGGACTCCCAACGTCTTTCGCATGTCTTTATGGCAGTAATGGTTGCGACCCCAAAAATGTAAGTATGTGTACCCCATGATCGGGGAAGATGCGACCCTCTTATTTTTGGCATAACCAACCTGAAAACAAATGTCAAGAAGAAGTATCTCACTCACTAACAGATGCTGAAATGCTTACGTTTTCATTTTCTAGGGCTGTAGGCCTGAATGTATGAATGGGGGTACTAAACAGGCGGACGGGACCTGTGTTTGCAAACCAGGCTATATGGGAAACATCTGTCAACATGACATTCGCAGTAAGTATTATATTCGTTTACCATTCTAAATTCTCCTACAGAATGAGCTGATTTGCAAACAAATTTGCCTTTGATCCGATTGCACCTGCTTTTGAGTTAAAATGGATAGGGTCAACTGAGCAATATCTTGTAATAACGTAAGCTATGTTTGCCATCAGGAACAATGATTCCAATGATTGCTGATCCTTAAGCCTTCAACAAATCTGAAATTGATTATTCATACAGAATCTAGACGGATGTACTCCCCAAACAGATTATTCATACAAAATCTCAACAAACTCTCAGACAAAGCTTGTTTGACAGATCTGAAACGTTTTGTAAATGTTCCTAGCATATGAAGATTAAATGTATTAAACTACTAAATCGTTAAATAATTTTTAGATTGAAGCATGTTTTAATGTATCTATGAAAGAAGATTCAGAGGAACAAAAAGCTATCCGCATGACAAGATGGGTCACTTCAACTTTCCAATAATCAACTGTTCCTGTTTTAATTCGAGCAATATTTCAGCAGCTCCAGTGTTTAGTGTTTACATTTTATAAGTTCTGAGCTACGAAGGTTCAAAGCACATCATACGACTCATGCTCAAAAGTTGCTGGATCAGGGTTACACTAAGGCCTTAGTAGGGCTTTCAAAACGTTTTATGGAAGAAATGTGGAGGGCATTTCCACATTTTACGTATCAGTGACAAAACGATCACCTATTTTGACCTGTAGTATATGTTCCCGTATTTCTACAGGTGAACAGTTGCCTTTGCATGTGTTTGTGACTGGTGCCACCGTTGGGTTATGCTCACCGTTTTGCGCACACCTAGTATCATTACTAATTGATACTGGTTCATAAACAATTACTTATGAGAAAGTCGGAATTGTCAAAGAGTATATTTGTTTTCATACATGTTCCACGCACAATACTACCGATGTTTCAAAAGATGTCAGTACACAATTATTTTTCCAGCATGTCATGACATCTACAGTGTTGCACCGGACTCTGCTAGCGGCGAGTATACTTTCTGGACTAAAAATGGCAGTACCATCCGAGTTTGGTGCCGCTTCCGCAGCAGTGACATCATCACCTACTTCTCCAAATCCGCTGTAGCCACATTGACAACCGAGAAGTTAAATCTCCACTTCAATACTAAATCCAAAGTCAGCTTTGTTGCAAAGTGGACGGACATGACACAGTCCGAATCCACAATCTCTCAGCTTGATAGGTTTTCATTCCTACCTCTTGGCATCATGGCCAATGAATATACACTCTACACAAGCCCACATAATCTGAATCTAGGTCCCTATCTATTCCTGGGTTTTCATCCCCAAGTCCTCCTGTCGAATGGTTTCGTACACGGATACAACGCAAATGGAGTTGACAAGTCATTCAGAAATTGTGACGGAAACCCCAATGCCTATTTCACCTTCTATACGAATCCCAATCAGCGTTCGCCTTCAAGGACAGGATGGGTGAACCCTCGTCATCCTATGACGGATCACTGGAATTCGGGTGCCCAGATGTTAAGTACACCTGACCATCTCAACGACGACTATTTCTACGACACGGAACTACACTTCGGGGGATGTGGTACTTACGCCATCTCTACGAGTAATCCAAGTCTCGACGGCATAGCTCTCGGGGTCGTATATGGTCAGTTTAATCTACTTTCATATAGCTTTAACTTTTATTCTGCTTTAGATTAGATTGTTAGATGAAAGATATAGGTTTTATGTGACGTATATTCTCTTCATCATATGTGGTTTATTATTTTCCTTTTCTGTTAATATCTTTAATAAAATCCTTCACAGATTTCATTTGATTCAATATTGTCTTTCCATCAACAGTTCACAGCTAAATGTAAGAGCCAACCCTTGGCAATGGGAGGATACAACGTTGCCGTCAAATCCCCCAAGAAAGCAGGAAGAAGCGCCCTGATTATGCCTGTACAATAAAATCAATAAATAGTATGCATTCAAATCGTAATTTCTTACGGACACCTTTTTCTTACCTACCCTTTCTACCACTGAAACTGACTTGTGGTTGAAATAGTAACTCATAGTAACGGCGATCCGTAAATAATCAAGTTTCGATCAGACAATCCAGTGATTGACATCATGATTATCGATCCAAGCAATTTGGATACGATGACATTATCAAAATGTGAACTATATTTCAATTACAAATACACATTTATTTGAATGTGAACATATTCAGAAGAAATAACAACAGGAGCCTCCACGTGTCTCCAAATGTCCTCCACACCGTCACCACACGTCTCCATATGTCCTCCACACGTCTTCACATATCCTCCACATGTCTCTACACGTCTCCATATGTCCTCCACACGTCTTCGCATGTCCTCGACATGTTCTCCACATGTATTCACATGTCTTCCACACGCCTCCACATGTCCTCCACGTCTCAACATGTGCCAACACGTCTCTGCATGTCCTCCACACGTCTCCACATGTCCTCCACGTCTCAATATGACTTCCACGCGTCTCCACATGTCCTCCACACGTCTTCCACACGTCCCCACATGTGCCCACACGTCTCTGCATGTCCTCCACACGTCTCCACGTGTCCTCCACACGTCCCCACATGTCTCCAATGTCCTCCGCATGTCTCTGCATGCCCTCTACACGTCTCCATATGTCTTCCACGCGTCTCCACATGTCCTCCACACGTCTTCCACACGTCCCCACATGTGCCCACACGTCTCTGCATGTCCTCCACACGTCTCCACGTGTCCTCCACACGTCCCCACATGTCTCCAATGTCCTCCGCATGTCTCTGCATGCCTTCTACACGTCTCCATATGTCCTCCACGTCTCCACATGTTCTCCACACGTCTCTACATGTCTCCGAAGGTTCTCTAAATGTCCTCCACACGTCTCCATTCGTCACCACATGTCTCCATACGTCTCCACGTATCTTCCACACGTCTCCACATGTCCTCCACACGTCTCAACATGTCCTCAACACGTCTCCGCATGTCCTCTTCACGTCACCACGTTTCCATTATCTTCCACACGTCTGCGCATGTCCTCCACACGTTGCCACATGTCTTCCACATGTCTCCACATGTCCTCCACGTCTCCACAATGTCATGTTTTCCATACGTCCCCACATATGACTTCCACTCGTCTCCACATGTATTCCATACGTCTCCACATGTCCTCCACACTTCTCCAAATGTCCTCCACGCGTCTGTAACGTTGTACATGATACATATACCTGTACATATTTCTTTTTATCATATAATGGGTAGGTTTCTATAATTATATATAGGTTAATTATATATTGATGGGTTTCTCAGCAGGATAAAGCCAACGGATAAAAACGATATCCGTTGGGGTCATATGCGGATAGAGATACAAATATCAAAGGTCAAGTAGGAACTACTTTCACTATTTATAAACAAACATGGCGTCGCCCTCGTCATTCGGCGATCAAGTCAGAATTAACCATCGGGAATCTGGATGAACTACAGGGATAATTGCTTTCATTATCAAAAGAACAGTCTAACATACTGAAAATCTGTGTCTAACTGTGACGTAGCGAAGGCATTTTATAAGTTTTGGCAACTATGGAGATATAAATGTCGAAACAATTTTGCGAGGGCACTAGGCCTAGCCAAGCGGGATCAGTAGCCATATCTGTGCTTGTAGACCTCTGCGGCTTGAAACCTTATCCTCAAATTAAAATATTTGGATTTGGCCGAAATATGTTTGAATTGTTACCTTGTTTCGTTTTGTCGCTGTGTGCACATCTGACTACACTTCTTAACGTTATGACAGGACAGACCGACTGTCAATAACGTCTAAACGTGACCGTGACGTCTCATAGACCAGGGTTAGAGTAGCTTCCCTTTGATAAAGGGCAGTTACTCTAGCGGACAGACCGATGGATTGGCGAAAGGTATTTTAAAAACAATTGCTGTTTTGCGTATATGTTGCTTCACCACTGTATAAGAGACAGATTTCAGTTGGAACTATATTGGCTACTGTCACTTTCCGACTGACACATCACTTACCCTGTGACGTAATAAATATTAATGCGCGCATTCCAGGAAGACTCGCAATGTTTCGGTAATGTTTGTGAGAGAGGGAATGTGATTTTGAAGCACAAAATTAAAGAATGACAGTATATGATAAAGAGATTTATCACGCTTGTCTGTTTGGAGATGGTAAATATCCTGTATTAGGAATAAACACTATGTATTTAGCTCGCAAAGGCTCGCTAAATACAACGTTTATTCCTAATGTAGGATATGTACCATCCCCAAACACACTCGCGTGATAACCTCTATATATTGAAGCATACTTTTGTAACTTATATATATTTAGGTGTACAATGCATTTAGAAGGTTTTTAATTTATTCAACACTTACAATAGAAAGGACATGCAAGCAGAAAATGATACACATTGTCAACTTTATTAGGGTCACACATTGTACATATTCTCGTATTCCTTGGCATATCACGTCGTCCAATTTCGATTTAAAGCTCAAGCGAGGAACATCTAAATTTGTAACATTAATATAAAAGATACTGTTCTGCATAAACGTATGTTTAGCATTTTATAATACAGAAATCGAAATAAAGAAGATAAAGATTGACATATCCTTTAACATGCGTGAAAGAGTTTATGAAATGAGAATTCGAATTTAAAGTTTGTTAATTCTATACATAGCCATAACGATTTGGTATAATCACCAAATAGTAACACAGTTATCACGAGCTTGTAATGCAAGACAAGTTCATTATTGAAGAACGATGTAGAGACGTCGAGGACATTTCCAAATTTGAACAAGACAGTGACAAAAATTATGTCCGATGCAATTCCCTATTTTGACTTGTATAGAAGAATCTTATAAAGTGTGCAAGGAAAAGATACTAGACATTTGATGGAGCCAGAAATAAGAATCCTACATGTGAGGAACTTGCTGATGGAGCCATAGAACGTGCACACATGATATCCAGCAAAACAACAATTTTAATAAACCCCGCCCTCTTATAGTGAAAATGGCACACTGGGATGAAAATCCAAACACTTGAAATTGTTATGGTGTAGCTAATGACCTAACATATTTCCGGCGAAAAGAGCTAGGCAGGTCGTGAAAATCCAGATAAGAGGGGGTTTTTTTATAAAGGAGGGAAACTTGTGGAGGATGTGAAGAAGGAAAGTGAGATGAGAGAGACACCAGAGAGAACAACAGCACACAGACGGGAGACAAGGGATAGCCAGAACACCAGAACATCACCCTCACAAGGACATAGATGGGGAGGTTAACACACAGGACCACGACTTCTGAGTTCTCGCTCTAAGGCCTGGACAGCAACCAACTAGGGGTGCGACGAGACCGAGCGTGATTGTAGGACGCCTCATGTAGATACGACAGATGATGTCGATGACTGTAAATTTGAGAATAGAACATTTGTTTTCTGGAATGTATCAGGACTTAATTCTAAATTAACTGATCAGGACTTTGCCGATTATTTAAACTCATTTGACTTCATCGCCATAACAGAAACTTGGATGAAAGATATAGACATAAATTTGATATTTACAGGATTCAAGCTATGGATCAAAGAAGCTGAAAAGATTTCCAACTGGTGGTATTGCCATATTAGTTAGACAACAACTTGTTAAATATGTAAAATGGTCTCAAGTTTACGACAGTGGCATTTTCATGCTGTTAGATAAAACCGTATTTGGATAAAAAAAAAAAAATTGCTATATTCATGTGTTTATGTTCACCCTGAATGTTCGACTTGGTACACAAACCTTTTGAGGCAATGCAAAAATGGCATTCATATATTACAAAATGAATAACTTGATATACTAGCACATTGTGATGATGTTTATTTGATTATTGGGGGAGACTTGAATGCCAGAACTAGCACTGAATCTGATTTTGTAGAAGATGATATCCTTGAATGTCTCGAGGGACATGATAACAGTGTATGGGGATTTCTGTTAGAAAATTTCAGCTTAAATCTTTTTGTGTGGATTTATCTTTGAATAATTTTGGTAAGAGCTTACTAGGTTTATGCAGTATACTAAATATACATGTTATGAATGGAAGGTGTGGGTCAGGCGCCGGGGTGGGACATTTTACTTTTATAGGAAACCAAGGTGCGAGTGTGGTGGATTAAGTTATTGCCTCGTCCGAGTTGTTTGATATGTGCCATGGCTTTGACATACCGTCTCGAGCCGAGTCGTCACACCTTCTTGTCACGACTAGTTTACGTACGCTTCTAGTAAGTGACCCTACGCCACGCAATACACGTAACAATGCTTCCTTGAAATTTGTGTGGGCTGAAGAGAAGGCTGAACAGTTTAGAATAAACCTTATTTCTGGGACTGCGCATAATTTACTGGAGAAGGCTGTAGATGTAGCATTTGTTAACGTTGAAGAAAGTATTGGGTATATTACTGTTATTATTGCTGCATCTGATATGAAGAAAATGAATATGGGCTTTAAATATGATCAACAATGGTTTGATAGCGAATGCCAGCTACTTAAAAAGGAACGATGTACATGTAGACGTTTAAATAACTTTAGAAAGAATAAGGACAGAGGATCACTAACAGACTAAGAAGTAAGACTAAGAGTAAGAAATCGGTGCAACGATGTTTGTAAG